AGGATCGAGAGGTGAGCGAACGCATGTATGTGTTCGCTCACCTCCCGATCTACTGAGCCGACCTGTGACAGTCTCATTGTCACAGGTCGGCTAGCACTATGAGGTGAGTGAAAAGTACTCACCTCATAGTTCTCCTTTAATACTAAAGCTGAGGCTCCCAGACCCAAAGGGCATTCGGGATCCGAATTTCCAAATTGCATTCAGGAGCTCCTAAATGCCATTTGGGTCGGGGAGCATTAGCTTTAGTAATATATGTATACGGCTCCCAGATCCGAACGGCATTTGGGAGCTCCCGAATGCCATTCGGGTCTAGGAGCCTCAGCTTTAGTATTATATGTATATACTGTATATGGCTCCCATGTTGCTATAATGAAAATTCATGTTCACACCCATTTGGGTGCATTAAACCGAAAAACACATCTGATTGGCCAGAAAAGTCACATGTCCAATTCAGTTTAGTTGGCGAGCGAAATTCAGAAACAGAAATTCGGATTCGGAAATTCGGATGTGTCCCAATTTTGATTCAGAACGAAACACATCGCACATGTCTAAAACACAGAGTAGGTACAAATGAAGATGGGAGAAAGCAGAGTGTCGAGACCAAACCTGAAGGACTTCTCTGCATCTATTGTAAATTGAAGATGAATAGCTCCACAGTCTCTGTCACTGCAGAGATCAGTGGTCAATGCTTATTTTAAAGCCTTTTTACTGTTTTGTTTAAATATTTGGATGTCCATTGCCTGGTTAAAGTTCCACTTTAAAACCCCAAACATTTGGACAGCACCCTCACTTACCTACCAAATGTCTCCTTATACTCTTCTGCAGCTCAGGATACTTCCATGGATGACCACGTGTTCCAGTGCACCCTGCTAGTATTTAGGATTAGAATTGCCATTGTAAGGCAGGGAACCAAAATCATCAACTTTTTAAAGGTTCAGATATTTCAGTGTTTGATTGGATGCTGGAGAGTTAAGCCCCTTGACAGCTTCTTTTATCTCACAGGGACACTTTTGGTGAGCTGAGTTCCCAAATATGCCCACCTGTTGTGGCCATTATGAAGGGTTCCCAGTCTCCCTGCTGGAACAGAGCTGGGTATTTTTGCTGGGAGGTCTCACTTTTGCAGCATCCAAGACAAAAAAGAAGGCGGGGGGCTGAACTTTAACTACAATATCACTTTTGGTTGGGCTGGCCCTCGAATTCATTTTATTACTAATCTTGCTCCGAAAAGGCTAGAACTACATGAGCAATTTTAATCTCTTGCTACTAAGAGATACCATTTTGTGCCAGTGACCTGATTATGCTAGAGCTGCAAAAAAAATTTTTAGTAGCTCAATCCTGCTTCTAAAGCAGGACTTACAAATGATCACTAAACAAATACAACAAATGTCTTCCTATGGAGTAAGCTACATAAGTAGAAAATAGTAGTAGCATGGAGCATTGTGCGATCATGTGAGATTGATTGCTACTACATGTTTCCATTTGTTTAGCGGTCATTTGCTACTCGTAGCAAGTATCAGGATTGAGCTACTGGAAATTTTCTGTGTAGCTCAAGCTTATTGGGTTCAGTGCCAGTGCAGTGTTAAAACAGAATTAAAGTCCAAAAAAAGGCTGAGGGTGTAGTTTTTTTGGCTGTACACAAAAACTTCTTGCTCCTAGCATTTTTTTACTTTGTGTACGCTGCCTGCCGGGCATGTGCAGTTCAGGGTGGACCCCTGGCTTACAGATGCTGGGAATAGACCCAGGTGCCAGAGCAAAGTAATTCCAGCATGCATGCACAGGAGCTACATGATCAGTGGCTGCCCAGAGGCAGACCCGGAAGGATTGAGAAGGGGAATGGCAGACATATCGCTAAAGGAGTGTATATGCCATGTGGTACAAGTATGCTGTGAATACTTGCACATTACAGCAAGAGCCCATCCACCTTAAATGCAACAAGGTTCCCCCTTAAATCTCTTAGTAGTGCTATACTAAAATGGCCCGTGTACTGTAGCTTAGTCTTAAGGGCCTTCTGAGATTATTCAGAATGTATTGACAAGTGCATTTGACTTGCAATTGACCTTCTTGGGACCTGCATTTGCCCTGCTTCAAGCCGGGTTAGCATTCCCATGTACTTGTATGAAAATGGAGAACCTACTTAACGTGATCAAAAGCCCGTTGACACAGGCCCTAATGCTTATACCAATAAGAGATATTTAGTGGCTTCTTGTTGCCTTATGGAGACTGTAGACACATTGGGAGCCATTGCAAGCATCCGGTAGACACGTCCCCACTAAGGATGGGCTCGGGCGTGTTCGCAGCTTCACGTGCCGAGCCAGCCAGGAAGCTGACAGCGCAGCAGCTCCAATCACAGGCACGGAGACATTTCCCGATCTCTGCAGCTGCGGACCGGGAAAATGTCTCATTACCTGTGATTGGCGCTGCTGCGCTGTCAGCTTCCTGGCAGGCTTGGCAAGTGGAGCTGCGAACACGCCCGAGCCCATCACTAGTCTCCACTGACCCAGAAAAGCTTTTCCCGGTTGGCACATTAAAATGCATTTAAAATATAAAGGGACAAAATAATGCAGACCATTTACAAAGTTTGTTATTTCACTGCCCTGCCTTATAATAGGAAGTTTCGCAGAAAGATGGAAACACTTTAAGATCTTCCAGAGTGATTTTGCAGAGCAGATGGTGCATGGTGAATGAACGCACCTTGTTTTGCTCCCACTGCATCGGCCGTTGCACACACAGAGCACCTACAGGTTCACAGTCCGCAGTGATTCCACCAGCCTAGTCGGTGGCTTTTGCACGATTGTTGCGCCTTGTCTGTGCTTTTGAAATACACTCAATGCAAAAGAAGGAAATCAGGACTAAGCACAGCTGACCTACCTGCCAAGATGTATCTGTTCATCAATAGTGTATTTTTTTTTTTTGTATTGACGACTGTTCTCCTTCCAGGTCCAGTCCTCAGTGGCGGTGGGAACACCAGACTATATCTCTCCTGAAATCCTCCAGGCTATGGAGGACGGGAAGGGGAAATACGGTCCGGAGTGTGACTGGTGGTCTCTGGGAGTCTGTATGTATGAGATGCTGTATGGAGAAACTCCATTCTATGCCGAGTCCTTAGTGGAGACATATGGGAAGATCATGAACCACAAAGTGAGTATACGTTTGTCTTCTCACATTTCAGCTTTATTTATTTCTTAGGTTTATTAGATTCAGTTACAGGCAGGCTAACGCATTTAAAGGTAATGTTTAGTCTTTTGAAAAAATGTTAGGACACGCATTTATGTATCTTATGTTAAAGTGTATATCGAAGCATTACCCAAACACCCCCAAACCTTCCTCTATCCTTCTGGAGCATGTCAGAAAGGCCACCTTTGTCGGAAAGAGGTGAGTAGGCACCTTGGTGGGGTGGTGCAGTTTAGCTATTAATAGATTAGGCAGCTGGTGAGTTGTTAATGCAAACCGGTTTATCTTTTTGCAATCTTTGTCCTGTTGGGGACATTTCCATTTACTGCCTGTCCCAAGGATGCAACAGGAAGTAAGAGGAAATATCTAAATAGCGAGGGAAATCCCGTTGTCATTCTAACAGGTGTGCCCATTGGAAGATTTCCTCTCTTCCTGCATTTGTCCCCATTTTCTGCCCCTGTAATAATGGCCACTAGGACATGTTAGGGGGTAATTCTCCCCATTGAGGACACAGGCAGCAACGTAATACTTGGCAGGGGATCTGGTGGGATGTGGAACCATTACATGAGTAGTATGGTCCAATAATGTCCATATTAGTGATGAAGCTGGGCTTGACTCAAACCCAGTTGGCTTGAGTTTGCCTGACCCGCTCAAAACTCCTATCGCCACCTCCTCGTCCCAAACCAATAAATATTTCCGTCTCATGGCGTGTCTTATCAACAAGGTTTTGTATTTTTGCTTCTGACTTGCATGTGGTGAAATGACGGAATGATCTAATTTATTTCCCCTCTTTTTCCAGTTCCCTACGCATTCCGACGTCTCTGAAAACGCGAAGGACTTAATCAAACGGTTAATTTGCAGCCGGGAGCACCGTCTGGGTCAGAATGGGATCGAAGACTTCAAGAACCACCCATTCTTCGTCGGCATTAACTGGGAAAACATTCGCAACTGTGAAGCACCTTATATCCCAGAAGTCAGCAGCCCGACCGACACATCCAACTTCGATGTGGACGACGATTGTTTAAAAAACTCTGTAAGTGCTGCTCAGCCCGAATCTGAAGAGAATTTCAAGGAACCGAGTCTCCCTCCACTGCAGGGGCAACCTTGGCACTCCAGTTATGGTGAAACTACAAATCTTAGGATGATTCTGCCTTTGGGAGTCATTCCTGTGGCTATCGGAGTCTTGCAAAGCCTCATGGGACTTGTAGTTCCACAACAGTTGGCGTGCCAAGGTTTCCTACCCCTGCTCTACTGTAATGCTATGACAGTTTGGTGTTTTGGCCTATTTGATTTTGCAGCAAAATGCCAACAAAGCTTACGCTTTTGATTTCATTTATTGAGCCGTTTGGTGGAAAGAAATTCTGCTGTTCCTTAATTCTGAGGTATTTTCCAACAGTCAGCTTACTTCCTGTTCAGGTAATACCCTGAGGGGACCCAGGCTTTCTCCTATGGGCCTAAAATGTATGTTAAAGGAGAGCTATGTGGTCAGTGTTTTTCCCCATAGTTCTCCTTAGGGTAACGGGAGGACACAAACTAGCGTCCTCCCGTTACCCTAAGCTCAGTAAACCGCGAGCTACAGCTCGCGGTATACTGAGACGCTGCACCTGGAGCGGATCCCGACGTAGATGACGGGATCCGCACAGCTGCGTGAGTGACAGCTGGCTCTGCCTACATAGAGGCAGAGCCAGCGTACAGCTGGCCCCGCCCCCTCCCCCGTCCGTTCCGCCAGTCAGCGCTGGCAGATCGGAGAGGGGAATCCAGCCCCTCCCCCTGTCCCTGCAGAGAGCCGTGACAGGATCGAGGAATGAGCGAACGCCGGTATGTGTTCGCTCACCTCCCGATCTACTGAGCCGACCTGTGACAGTCTCATTGTCACAGGTCGGCTTAGAACTATGAGGTGAGTGGAAATCACTCATCTCATAGTTCTCCTTTAATTTACAACAACAAATATTTACTGTGTGCAAAAGAAATTCCAAGATTTGGGGATTTTTTTGTTTTTTTTAAGGTATTCTCCTATAGTTAAGGGAATTTCCAAGGAAAACATTAGATGCCACATGTGCAACTGTAGCAACTGAATCCAGAAAGGAGAGTTAGTCAGTCCAATATCACAATGGATATTTTAGATACAAGTGGATCTGGGGGGCTGACTCAGTCCCCGACTTCTTATATATCTTGGGTACTCCAACAGTGAGAGCTCTTGGCAATAATAGCGGGTGTGCAGACCCTGAACTCTGCACAGGGATGGTGGGTGCCCCTCATACTAGATGCAGCAGGTGTGCAGGCTAAGGATCTCAGTACAGGCATAACGGATCCCCCTCATACCAGGCAGAGCATGTGTGCAGACCCTAAACTCTGCACAGGGATGGTGGGTGCCCCTCATACTAAATGCAGCAGGTGTGCAGACTAAGGATCTCAGTGCAGGCATAACGGATCCCCCTCATACGAGGCACAGCAGGTGTGCAGACCCTGAAATCAGCACAGGGATTTTGGAAGCCCCCATACCAAGCGCAGCAGATGTACAGACCTGGGAATTCAGCTCAGGGATCTCACCAATGGGGTCTTCGAGAGAAGGAACAGTCAGGTGGTTTATCTCTGCAGCGTCTATCAAACACGGAAGTTTTGGTGGACTGACCCCTTCATTGGGAGCGGAAAGACCATTCATTGTCCTGATCACATGCCAGTTCTTCTCGTTCTGCTAGAAATGTCAGTTTGTTGGGTGTTCCTCTGCAGTAATTGTGCTTTTTGTTGTGTTATGTAGGAGACGATGCCTCCGCCAACCCATACAGGCTTTTCCGGACACCATTTACCGTTTGTTGGGTTTACCTACACAAGTAACTGGTAAGATGTCATCCATGTGAGTCCATTCCATGCACATGCATGAGTGCTGAAACATGGATAAAGACATTATTGCTCTAGGCCCTTGGTTCTCAACTGGTGGGTCGTGACCCAAAAGTGGGTCGCGACCCCATGTTCAGTGGGTCGCCGCATGCCTTCCAGTGCACTAGGTGAGAGGGTCCTCAGCCTCCCCCATAGTGCAGCACTGTCAGTTCTCCTGCCGAGCACCCATTCAAAATATGCTGCTTAGCGCCATGTGTCAGCTTGAGGTGGTGTGGGCTGGGGGTATGGCTGTGAGGGAGCTCCATCAATACATGCGGGAGTTGCATTGCGCTGCCATTCATTTGAATTGCACCACAAACACACCTACCTTCCACGGTTTGATCGCTAGCACTGGAACATGCAGGACTGCAATGCCATGCGTTCCAGTCTGATGCGACTTGGGTTGCGACTTAATGACCAAGAACAAATGTGGGTCCTGACTTACACAGGTTGAGAACCACTGCTCTAGGCAGTCTTACAGATCATCCACCGGCCACGGATGCACACCTACTGTCATCTGTTCCTCCCCGCATTATCCAGATATAAAAAAGCAGGCATGTACGCGGTCTATTTCTTGATATCAATGAAGCTTTATTGCAAACACACAAAGCCAGTCACGAACCATTATAGCTAATCCCCCTATTGGGGAGAGATGCATCAAAAGCGTAGGAGAGAGTATGGTGGAAAATGATATGCCGATATGTTTGTACAACATGCAATAAAGCTGGAACATTTATGAAGGAAAATAATGCAGTGCCATTTTTGCTGCATCCAGTCCTTTTTGTTTCTTCACTTCTCCATTACGCTCTCTTGCTCCCCATCTGTCTGTTTCTCCTTGCTCTCTTCCTCTCCTCTCTCTTCCTCTCCTCTCTCTTCCTCTCCTCTCTCTTCCTCTCCTCTCTCTTCCTCTCCTCTCTCTTCCTCTCCTCTCTCTTCCTCTCCTCTCTCTTCCTC